CTAAACCTGAAACCCTAAACCCGGCTTGCTTCGCCGCTTCAAACTTTCAACCCTACACCTACCATTGGCCGTAGTTCCGGGGGAGTTGGGAAGAAAATATGACATATACAAGGACTACTATAGGGCTCAACCCTCGAACTTCCCTTTGTGCACCAGCAAGGCCTAGTCTCTAAACCCTGACTAACATGGTAGCCTCCATCGTCTCTTCTACTCTCCCACTTTCCTTGGGCCCTAAACCCTCAACCCCTAAACCCCCCCCCAACCATAATCCTGAATCCACCATCCCTTGCTGAATACATTAGCCCTTGGGCCCTAACCCTAAACCCCTAGCCCCCCCCCACCACCCCAGCCCCTAAACTCACTATCAAACCCTAAACCCATTATCCCTTGGACCCTAAACCCTAAACCCAGCAGGTACATCCCCGCCTCGGTATCTTCGAGGCCATCGGGCACTCGGCCGGTGGCTACGGCGGCAGGCAGCACTTGGTACTGCAAAGGCCTCAGCGTAGTGCGCGAGTTCTCCTCACCACCCCCACTACTATCCACCCTGGGCTTGCCCCTCAGCTAGACTTAAATAACCTTAAAACGGCCTTACTAGGAGGAAATTTTGGAGACTGGGAGCACGTGGGATGGATGAGGGAACCCAGGAATATTGTCCAGAACTAGGAGCTCACTGCAATGCTGATGGACACAGGCCTGCATGACCACAAACACCTGATGCTATCATACTTCCCAGCTTTGAGCTGTAGAGGGTCATGCAGGATGTTCTCCATCAACAGTAATTTACATTGCAGAAACCACAATAACAGTATCAGGTGGTGCACATTTTTTGGGAGGCGTTTGGTCATGCACCAAGGGCCTCACGGTGCATGCATGGCAGAGCGCAAGGTTTTGCTCATGGCACTATGTCGGAATCGCCTCGCCCTACCTGGCATCTCAACAACCAGATCTGAATTAGACCATTGCCCAACGGGGAGACAACACCCGCAAATCGCTTGAAAGCGGACGATCACCATGACACCCCGGCGAAGAAAGACGTTTAAGATTCAAACTAAGTCATATTGCCTTACACTTGCGCATATTGTTCTGGTTGAGCCAAGTCACATAGTTATCTTTTTACGAAAAAACTATACACCCTGCAAAAGGGATACCGTCTTACTCTCCATCTTAGAATGTCCTACAGCCCAATCATTTGAGTACTTGGGCCCTTAAGTGTTATGCGGGGCTTAGGTACCCCTGCACTAGAACAAGTTATACAGAACGCTCCCCATGATCATGGGTTGCCCGACTACCGCTCCCCCGATACAACCCTGCTACCCCTTGAGTTTTCACTGAATTGGCCTTAATGAGCCCTAACTTTCCAATCAGGGGGGAAGCGGGGGGGGGGGGGGGGGGCGTAGCGTGGCACAGGGTCGTGGATGATACAATGTGTATCACAGCCCCACTTCCAAAATCTGATGCCCTGTTCTTGAGAATACGTTCCTGTCAGACGCCCTCTAGTGGATGAAGGAAATCTTGCACTACCTTGGCAATTCCTGGGGATATAGGGCGAAGGCGTTGCAATTTTCCTGCCTGCACCCTCGACCCTAAACCCTAAAATCTCAGGGAGTTTTCCTTTGTACCCCTAGGGCTTGTACCCTTGCGTTTTGGGCCCCTAAACCATGGAATATGGCCTCACGAGAGGTATTTGGGACCCAAAACTTAGGAGTACAAATATGAAGGGTACAAACTTAAAGTCTTTGAAAATCCCAAACTCCAAACCCTATACTCTAAGCTGTAAACCCTAAGCCCTAAACCCGTCTGTCATGAGGCACTGGCAGGCCAAGCATGGTCTGAGTGTCCTTCTCATCACCTCAGACTGACCACCTATCTCCTACGCAGGGTTTAGGGTTTAGGGTTTAGGGTTCCGACACGTGTTCCCTTGATATGAACCGTAGACCCTGTAGCATTCATCATGGGTTCCCCCGCTGCTCCCCCTTTACATTCCTCTAGGTTCCCCTCAAAGCCCTGAACTAATTGTCCTAAAACGCGAGGGTTGTATAAGGGGGTAGCCGGGTGACCCATAGATCTAAAAATAGTTCGCTGCTGGTTGTCTTATCAAAGGGACGAGCCTCTTCGCGACGAAGAACAATTAAAAAAGAAAGTAAAAGGAATAAATGCCTTCGAAGGGAATGAAATTTCCTACAGGGCACGCTATGTTTTTTTTTTTAATATTCTTGTGTGACCTTCACCTGTAATCACCTTAGACCTATCAACGGAAGGCATTCTTAATAGTTCCTTTTGGGTATATTGGGATAAGCACTTCAAGAATTCCTTAGCGAATCGGAGTCCTAAGTCATACTCCAACAAATGATGACCATCTGTATGAGCGCGTGAGGATTCCATAGGGGGAGTAGATCCCTATAACAATCCCCATATAATCCCTGCAACAATGTCGGTGTTGTATTTACTCTCCCACTCACCGTCAAGCACCAGTAAACCCTAAACAGGAAAAAATGCGAATAGTATCCCCACATATATATATATGTGTGTATATTCAGTATCCTCCAATTTTTCCAAACCCCCCATTACCCCCTTACACACCAGCAAGTCAAGTCCTGGAACTGGCAAGTGCGGCCAGGCTTCGCATGCTCACCTCACAGGCACAAATCCTACACCCTCAGCCTTGCACACGGCTTTATGTTGAGGATACCAAGCCCGACACCTTCAGTCTGGAACCTACCCTTGGTTAGATAGGAATGAAGGAATGGAACCTTGTAGTGGTCCTGTATAACCCATTGTAATTAGTGGTTTACATTTTCCTTTCCATTCCTTCATTCTAAGCTAACCTAAGGCCAGTGAATCCTAAACCCCAGCCTCGGAAGATACCCTGCTGGGATGTATGCTCTCTTCTACCCTTCGGGGTTTGGAACATGCTAATGGGCGTCCGAGCTACGTGCAAATTCTGCCTCAGTGTTTTTTTTGTATGTCTGGTCATCTCTGGGACATTACTTGGGGGTTTCCGGCCTTTGCTGGCTTTTGCTCTGCAAGGTGGGTGCCCATCAAGAAAATGCTTGGCAGTGATATTTGGAGGACGAAGCTCTCCTCTCAAGTCGGATGTTTCGTAGTTCCACCGCGTTCGATCCTATTCTTGTCAAACACTGAACCTCAACGAAGGAAGTAGTCTTACCCTCTATTGGGTACTAAGATATCGCCAAATCAGATACTACTCATGCGCCTTTGATGACACACAGGGCACCGAGCCTGCCTCGCAAACTTAGGCATCCTTGCCATGAGTACTCCAACAGGGTGAACAGTTTAGGGTTTTGGGTTTGAAGGAACCCCTGGTTTCCGGAAACTTCCAGTTGAAGCCCTATATGTTGATGCTAAAATCCTGCATGAACTTCGTACACTATAACATCATGCATAAGGTACCTAGGGTCATACGGGTTTATCAAGTCTGTAAGTCGCTATAAAACTAAATTTCCATTTCATTTTCATTTTTGCCATGTGAATATCCAGAAAAGCCTTAAATAAAGGTACGGCCGGGTCACCATGTCGTGATGCGAAGGAAAACTGATTGAATAAGGGTTTGCGAAGGGGCACGAACTTTTGCCAAGGGGAACAGGGGGCACGAACGTTCACGAACGCCGACGACTATACTTAGTGCTGACCCCCTGTCTTTTGCCTGACTAAACCCTGACATACGGGATTGTTAGTACCCACCCTAAAAACCACCCCGAATTCCTACACTGTCCTACACCCTCATCCCTAACCCTGTACCCTCATCCCTAAACCCTAGCCCCTAAACCTGCATCCCTAATCCCTAATCCCTAAACACTAATCCCAAAACCTTCATCCCCAAACCCTAATCCCTAAACCCTGAACCCAGTACCTCCTCTTCGGTCAGCTCCCAAATGTGGCCCGTAGGCCCCAGGTTGGCCATGGGTGGAAGCTCCGCTGCCGATCTCTGTAGTAGCTCCTCGCAGGGATTTAGGGGTCTAGGGGTTTAGGGTTGAAAAGAGGATAAGGGTTTAGGGTTTAAAGTTTAGAGTTTAGGGTTTATGGTTTAGTCGTTTAGGGGCTAAGGGGTTTAGGGTTTTAATGTGGGGTTCTGATTATGAACTTCCCCCTAATATTACAGCCCACCCTAATATGTAGAATTCTAATTAAATTTCAATTGTTTGAAGCTAGCATGCACTATTCCGTTCCTATGTTGTTTTTAATCCGTTCCGCCCGGATTTAGCTCTAATCCGTACCCATTTATAGTATTCCGTTCCGGCCCGATTTAGCTCTAATCCGCACCCCTCTAGTAATGCGAACACGACATTAGCGCTAAGGGGTTTAAGGTTAAGATTCGAGGCAATAATATACGGAAACAGGGAATAAAGGAGAATCAAATGGCAAACACATGGTGCTTTCAAATTTGAGGTTATAGGTAGTTATGTTGCGAAACGACACTCACTTGGAAAAATGAGCTTCCACCTTGGAGGTTCTAGGTAGGTAAATTACGAAGCACGGAATTTTGGAGAATCAAATGGGTGGTTGTCAACATGTTGGTCCCTTTTTGGGTCCCTATCATAATATGGCACCTAATATTTAGGGTACCCAAAAAGGGATCATAATTTTGACAACCACCCAAATGATAACAATGGCTGGACAACTCTGAGGCGCCAGGTAGGCATGTCACGAAACACGGAACAATGGAGACTCGGATGGAACGGTGGCGCTTCCAAGCTTGAGGAATGTTCGGAAACAAGGACCACTGGAAAATCATATGGAAAAGTGCGCTTCCAAATTTGAGGTTCTCTTCCGAAACAAGAAATAATGTAGAATAACACTGAAAAAGAGCTTCCAAGTTTGAAGTTCTAGGTAGGTACATAATGAAACCTGGAATGAGGGATAGTCAAAAAGAAAAACGGCGTTTCAACAATTAAAGTAGGTGTGTTGCGGAACACGGAATGACGGAAAATCATACAAAAAATGACGCTTCCAAGTTCGAGGTTCTAGCCAGGTATATGACAAAGTACGAAGTAGTGGATAATCACATGCAAAACAGAATGGTATGAAGGGTCACAGGGGATGTAGAGTTTGGGATCTAGGCAAGTGTATCATGAAAAGCTCTTTATATCCATACCAGTAAAGAATTAGGTGAGCATAGGACATTGAGTATTACGACCTGGCTCTCTCTCTACCCAGCTGAGGTTTAGGGTGTAGGGTTTGCAGGCCCCCAAAACAAGGATACTGACGACCCCAATTTAAAAGATGTAGTGGAAGCCTGTTCGTAGGGAGGAAGAGGCCGGCTGCTTACATTGCTGAGACTACCACCACTATCCTCCTTGAGATGCTACTGCCGCCGCGGCGCTGCGCATGCACCATTGCGATCGCCCCACCCCAAACCCACAACCCTTTGACTACCAGTACTTTGCTAGCCGAACATTCCCATCATGATCCCAATACATCATCGACAGTCAACCACAAAGTACTCAGAACCGCCTACATCACCCTACAACAACAGTAACCCGGGACCCTGCAATCCTAAAGGCCCTAAACCTGTAGGCCTATCGAGCTCCAGATAACTCTGACTGAGGAACCCCCACTTCCACCCGCCACTGTCCTGGGAAACCGCCGGTTTGGTGATCCCCTCCTCCTTGGAGGGGGCCTTTAGGGTTTAGGGTTTAGGGTTCAGGGTTTAGGGCTTAGGGTTCAGGGTTTCAAACCATATTTGGGTCATGGGCGGGGGCCTAGAAAGTAGGTTGATAATGGGCATAACTGGGGTTACTACATTAACCTACGTACAAAGCCCCCCTGACCCTTCAAGAAGGGCTTAGGGCTTAAGATGTCGGGCTCTTTAGGATTGATGGTTTATGGAGCTTGGGGTCTAGGGTGTAATATTAGGGTTTTAAGCTTTAAGGATTCTGGAGCTTTGGCCTTAGAGTGTGGGTTTTGAAGGTTTAGGTTGGAGGGTAGGTTGCGACCGGGCTTTAGGAGACTACAAGAGAGTAGCTGCGGGCCTGGTTTTTACGAGAGATCCCAAAACCCTAAACCCTAAACTCCAAACCCTAAACTCCAAACCCTAAACGCAACCTGTCAACTTCAGGAGCCGAGGTGTGACCGTGTAACTCTGAAGCGACAACCAAGGACTCCTAAACACCGCAAACCCTATAAGGTTTAGGGTTTTGAATTTAGGGTTTAGGGTTTTAAATTTAGGGTAAAGGTTTAAATTCCAAATTTAAGGCCATTTTCCTACTATTCCCTGTAAAAAGACCATTTAGGGCGAGGTCGGGTGAGGTCGATTAACAATTGCCCAGCAAATTCTTTCTTCAATCCACCACCCGGTCATGGGTACCACAAGGGTCTATTGTATTTATTTTTATTTAGGCCCCATCAACTTCATATTTAACGGCTAATACTGTAGAGGGGATTGACCTAGCCTATAATCATAAACCCTGAGCCCCTAACCTCTCCGCTCATAGTATAAGCCTTGTAAAGCCCTAATGAACCTCGTAGAATCCTACATACAAGCCCTAAACGTCTGAACTGAACCCCCAAACTGCCTGAGGGGCTTGAACCCTCAACCCTAAACATTACCTACCCTAAACCCTAAACCCTAAACAATCCCTAAACCCTAAACCCTAAACAATCCTAGGGTTTGGAGCCTCCTCTTTGGATTCCGATGCCTCGAAGGGGGTGTCCACAGGCTCTGTACCTGCGCTGTTTGGCGTAGAATTTTGGGTTTGGTTATGTAGGGGTAGGATATTTTGAGGCATGTAGGGATATATATATCTAGTGGTACAGGGGCTCCGAGCATGGGTGAGGGAGGGACCTTTTGGGGGTCCTGATGATAAGGGTTATAGAATGTAGGGGGTCTACATTGGGGTCCCCGCTTGCGGCAGTTTTTCGAAGAGCTCTTTATGCAATATTGCGGGTTCTGTGGTGATAGATCCAGGTAACGTGCTTGAGTCAAGGTCCTCAACACCGCAACATGGGAGTTTCCCGAATAGGGGGTCCAACACAGACCCCAATAGACTATCATCTTTACTGTAGCGACTCCCCCAAAACGGGGATCCCTAATTCTTGGAAACCCCCGAGAGTATGAACCGTAGTCTCAACTCCGAGTATCGCCGTTAGTTACCCCTGTAGTAGTCGTCTAGATAATCCCCTATCTAACCCCTTTATATCAGTTTAGACGCTAAACCCTCAACCCTATATAACCCGTTTAAGGCTTATTGACGATACCTCACTCACATCACTCCAAGCTGTGATGGGAACCTCAATGCTCCCTCCGTGTCCAGTCAGCCCGCAAACCAGAACTGTATAGCGTTTAGAATTTAAGGTTTAGGGTTTAAGATTTGGGGTTTAAGCTATCTGTCCCACAGGCCTTAAATTAGGGTTTAGGGTTTAAGGAGGCCTTCTACTTCTCATAATCAATAGGACTAGCGGAAGATATGATCTTACCCACTAGTCACTAGTGGGGACTGTATTCTCCTTCAAACACAACTACTCAGCTGAATATGATATGGTAGCCTCCCAAAATAGGGGGACTCAATATAGACCCTAGAAACTATGATCCGTGTTATGAGGACCCCCCCAAAACCCTAGACCCAAAGGTACCCCTAGTTTTGGGGAAGCTCCCATATGTAGGTTGCCTGCATCCGCTTGGGGCAGCAGCAGGTGTGCCTTGGCAAAAGCTCGAGGGTTTAGGGTTTAGGGGTTTAGGGCTCGAGGATTTTTTCCGGGCTTTTTGGTCTAGGATGTCCCGACACCTCCCACATACACATAATAACAATAACAACAATAATAAGAATGAGAGTAACAAAATGATAGACTTTATTCACTATTTGGGGCAAAATGGCCACGGGTATTTGGAAGGTCTAGGTCGGGTTCACGGGTTAGGATTTATGACAGGAATGTTGGGGCTTTCTGAACTACTATTGATACCAAAACTCCTGCATGACCTCAGTACACTGTAATACCATAATTCCACAAATTCCAATGTTTAGGGCAGTTAGGGCCATGCAGAGTTTTTATCATCCACCGTGGGAAGGCGCTATCATCAAACATGGAGTCTTCTTTTGACAATATGGGACGTTTGGAAAATGAATGGGAGGTTTTGAAGTCACGCAGGAACTGCGTAGGCAGGAAAAATGCGAGGTCTTACTACCAGCTGCTGTTGCGGATTGAGATCTGAGTGACTTCTACGAGTAGCCCATTAAAAAAAGCCCAATTGCAAGTTTCTGGGGTTCCTACTAAGAATACTATAAGCCAACTCTGAGAATCTCCCATGTAGTAATTTCCAAATCAAACTGTAGTGATCTCATGAACAAGGACCGAGCAAAAGGTCCGTGGGCATGCTCACGAAACATTGGGGACTGGAGGAGTATGATTTTTGAAAGGCCCGCAACAAACTTGAAGCACAAGTTACCAACACCCCAAGCTGAACTGGAGATGAGCCGCCTTGCCACGCGCATTGAACGTCAGTGGCAGGAATATCTCTGGCGGTAGCGAAGAACCTGTGCTCGTGAAGCTGATCCTAAGGGTCCAAGGACCCAAATGATAGGGTTTTAGGGCCCAAATACCATTAATAGTATAGTATTTGGGCCCTAAAGCCCTATTATTTGGGTCCTTGGACCCTCTAGGTGATGCATTCCATGCAAATCCGTAGGTCGTTCGTGGAACTTCTTTGCCTGGGGCTTGGTATACAGGGCCTGCCTGAACTGTGACTACAGCATTGGATGGTCGCACAAACTCCTGTGACATTCCCCCTAAACCCTAAACCCTAAACCCTCAACCCTAACATAACGTAGGCGTCTAGGGTCCATTACCAACATCATTTTGAGGTCCTTTTGAGGTACCCCGCCCTATAACTTTAGAAGGAATCTAAAGCCATAATGCTGGTAACTATCCATATCAAACCCCTTTACAAGCCCAGTGTCCATCTGATGGTTCTTTTCCATCTGACCTTCCTCTGTCAGAGTACTATCCCTGTATACCCTATAACAGCCCTATTCAACTCCTATATTACCAAAAACCCTAAACCCTTTGGCCACTACGTTACCTTCTGCAAGCTGGGGGGGGGTTCAGGCCGAAACATATGGTTCTTGTAGGGTTTAGGGTTTACGGAAGTCATGCAAATGGCAGTTTTCCATAGATGGGGGGGGGTTACCCCAATGCAGAACCCACCCAAAAAAAACTCTAGCTGTTATCATGAAACCACCCAAAAGAAACCTGATTTTTTCCAAATCCATGTCATGTTCCAATTGCTTTTCCATGTGATTCTCCCGTATTGGGGGGTTATACTCCTGTATGCCCAAGATAATCCCTACCATATATCCCTACATAACCCACATACCCCTAGATAACACTGAAGCGCCTCAAAAAGGACCCTGATTTTCGGAAACCCCACATGAGCTATAGTCTAAACTCCTAGTATCCCCCTTAATAACCCCTATAGTAATCCCCATATATAATCCCCTATATATAACCCCTTTCAAGGAGTTTTGACTGCAGCTCCCATGACTCCGTTGCAGCGAGGTTGCCACTAAAGAAGGAATAAAGCGCCCATTCCTCAGGCACCACCTTCCCAGAGGCTCCATGTACCCAATAATTAGGTACTTGGGTTTTGGGTAATAGTAATTATAGTACAGATTTTGGGTAGGTATATGATTATTGGGCACTTGGACCCTCAGGGCTTCTTGGAGGGTCAGGGAGATTAAGTAAGTAGGTTCCTGCTTGGGGTAATAAGGGTCATGTAGTAAGTAGGTTTCTACTTGGGTACATAGGGTTATTTAGTACGCCGGTTTTTGCTTGGGCTACTTAGGGTTACTTAGTAAGTAGGTTCCTACTCGGGTAATCAGGGTTGCTTGTTGTGGCTTCTAAGCGCGATTAATCTCTTACTAAGTCATACCAAGTCCCCCTGAATCCCCTACATAACCCCTTCAAGGAGTTTAGACTAAGCTCATATACGTGTTTACTATTGGAGGGTGGGGGTCTATTAGTCGGGGAAGTGGATGGCAATCATGCCCAATATGCCGCCCCGTGTTTGTCACGATCAACGCACGCCAAGCAATCTTCAGAACCATGTTGGGCCATATGGGGGTTATATGGGGATGATGGGAAAAGAAAATGGAAACTACTATCGGTATAAGATACTTCGATTATATCTGGGACGTTTTGCCTGGCGGCTACTGGCAAATCCAATATCGCGTCAACCCTGTGTACCTGCAATCGCTCAAGGCCCTCTCAAAAAAAGCTGTGTGTAGGCACGAGGCGTCCTTGACAAAAAACAAAAACTGGCATATAACAAACGACGATACCCGAAAAGAGAGCCACGCTGCCAACGTCCACCCTGACTCTCAAACTCTAAATCCCCTCCCCCATATCCTCAAACCCTGGTCAGAACACCCACAGCCTTAAACCCCGAGCCAATCTTGAGTCCTGTGGGCCACTTCGGCTGTTCCTTAAGAACACGTCCGAAAGAAGTACGAGTAGGACCCACGTGATAGTCGGACATGCACGCACATAAGACCGTAGAGGCCCTCAATACTCAGCACTTCAAAAATGTTCAGACTAATGCCAACTATTCAAACTTGTTACTGATGCAAGAACACAAATACTAGTCCTAGACACTGGTGCTTACACTAATATTGACTCCCAGGACTGCCAGTAACTCAGTAATACCGATTAGTATTACAAATGACTCATACCAATACCATCTTTTGTGGATGTTTTGCACGGAAGCCTCCAGGGTCTGCGTGGAGGGCGTACGTTGCAGCCAGGTGTCCTGTGCAGTGCTTTCAAGTAACTTGGATTCAGCTGCCATTCCAAGGGGCTATAAAGGTTGTAACGGAGCCAAAAAGAAGTCATATACGATTCAGGCGTGGTTTCTTATAGTAGAGAATGAAATCAACAATGAAGTGATGGCTGCTTTTTTTGTACAAGGATTTAACGGGCTCAAAGGAAGTGGTAGTTTCCCTAGACAGGGAACCCCAATAGCGACCCCAATATCCCTATATAGTATTCATATAACCCTACAGATTCCCCTCCAAACCTCTTTATGGGTACCAAGTCTTTTAGAGCAACCAAGTCCTCCGCAGTGCCGGCGGCTCCATCGTCGTCTTCAAAGACGAGCCTCTTTGGGTTTGGGGATCTGGGGAGTACTCTTGATGTTAAAGTTTCAGGAGGACGACGACGACGACGACGACGACGACGACGACGACGACTACTACTACTACTACTACTACTAGGGCTCGCCGCATTAAAAGGGCGGTGGTTTTTGCACCTTTCCATGCATTCGTGTTCCAAGAGCATACGCTTACCAGAGAATCCATGCCCAAACCATAATTCCGTCCGTGTTCCAAGAGCATGCGGTTACCAGAGCATCCATGCCCAAACCATAATTCTGTTCGTATTCCAAGAGCATACGGTTACTAGAGAATCCATGCCCAAACCATAATTCCATTCGTGTTGCAAGAGCATACGCTTACCAGAGAATCCATGCCCAAACCCGCTGGAACCTCAAAAAACACTGCCCTTTTAACGCGGCGAGGCCTCCTACTACTACTACTACTACTACTACTTCTAATACTACGACGATGACTATTCGAATTGTTGTTTCTACTGTTTTTTCCTACTCATGATGCAGACTCCTTAGCCATATAAGACAAGCTGCCATCAATGAAGTCCATCACCTGCCGAGACTGCGAGGTCTATAGAGTCTAGGTTTGAGGCTTCAGGGTTTGGGCTTTTGAAGCTTTTAGGGTTTAGGGAAGATCTTGAAAGTAGAGCCCACCGGAGTCTGGTATCCCATACTGCCATGGGGGTTCTGGGAACCCCACAGGGTCATCTACTTTCGGGGACAGGCTGTATAGGGAGGGGGTCCATCTTCATGCCTTTGACCAAGGAACTCTTGAGACCCTACGGATACGAGGACCGATCTGATGGATATTTTATTAAACTCTCATATCAGCACTGCTGTGGCTCCTCTAGCGCTGGGAATATAGGGTAGTTGAGGTGCTACAAGACTTTCCTTCTTCCGCAGTAGCAATGGATCGCATACCATGACAAAATCCAGAGTGACATCAACGATACGCATGACAATGAGAACTTGATGGTTCTCCACTTTTTTGACACCGAGGCTCCTCGCATATACCCGCAAGAAAACATAGCCCCTCTTTAAGAAGCCGCAAAAAGGCACTCAGAATCTGGGTCCGCATTGCGATACTCATAAGCACGGTAATTTCATGTTCCTCATTGGGTTGCAATATACCAAGTAAACATTAAAAAAAAACCGACAGCCAACTTTGACCCCGGGATTAATTGCGGCCTGCCGCTGGTTGAAATCCAGTGGAAGGTTCTGGATGATGAAGGACGTAACGGGAGCCTCCGCAGTGAACTTAAACAGGCAAACCTCGCCGCGGGATACGGGGATTTCCCAAAATTAGGGGTAGCATTTTGGGGGTCCCCATAATAAGGACTATAGTATATTGGGGTCTATATTGGGGTCCCCCTGTTTTGGGAAACTACCATACATGGTGATTCTGGAGCACAAGTGACACAAACGACAACCGGCACTTTCTGACTACAGACAGCCGGGGCATCACGCGAAACAAAAGTAAAACCGTGAGGGATTAAGTTGAGGAGGCTTCCGATATTACGCGTGCCCCAAGGACCAGTAAGTAAATGCCGAGTCAGCTGCAAAAAAAGCGCTTACGGATGCTAGGAGATCTCACAGCCAGAGATCGCGAAAAGTTTGATGGACATGAGGATGCCAACACATACGCTGAGCTTCTTGATCTAAAAAAAGCTTGTAAACAATGTGGCCGCATTTGGATGCCCCATTTTGGATACCCCAACATATCATGGCTCGTGGTATTCAGGTACCCCCAAAATGGACCCTATTCTTTCTCATCCAATGATGCATTTAAGAGACCAGCTCCTAATCACAAAGGGGCACAGAGAGACTCGCAATTTTCGACAACCAGCAGTCACAACTACCCAGACCCCTGGGAGGATCTAAAAATAAGATCCGCCATATAAACCCATTAAAACCCCTATATAATCCTTATATAATTTCCCATATGGTTCTAGGGGATCTAATTTCTAGATCCCTTTTGGGGGTCTGGGAAGGGACTGCATTCTACTCAAACCACAATTCAAGGTGAGGTCAGGTAAGGTTGTTGTAATGTGTAGTCCCCCTCAAGTAGATAGAATATGGGGGTTAGAATGGGATAATGGAAAAGAAAGTGGAAACTACTATTTAGGATTTAGGGTTTAGGGGTATAGTCCCCCTCAAGTAGATAGAATATGGGATAGATGGGGATCTTATTATAATCTACCCCAAGCCATATTCTATCCACTTAAGGGGGCCTAAAGCCCGACCAGGGAGCCTCTTTGGACATCAGAGACTGCTCTGCCTCCATTGCAATGAAGGGACTTCGAGGGTTAAGGGCTCGAGGGACTCTAATTGCTGCTCTTTCGGCTCCACTAGGCTATCTTTTTGGGTGTCCCCATACTAAGCCCCATCATAAAGGTTATAGTATTTTGGGGTCAGTATGGGGGTCCCCCCATTTATGGAAACTACTACATGACTGGATGCCAGGTGCACTGATTTAGCTAAACAGCTGTCCACTGGCAGAAGCAAAAGGCAGGACTACAATTGACGCTTCAGAAACCAATATGGTTTCCTTAGAGAGGCTAAACCTGAACCCAAAACCTTAAACCTTGTTGCGGGGACCCCGGAGAAGAGAATAATCATAAGCGTAGCATACACCACATTCCTAATTACTTGCCTCAGTCTTTGGACTGATACAGCTCTTTTATGGGCACTTCTCACTTGGGCGCTTCTCCACAATCATGGGTATGTGTTTGGGGTGCGACACTAACTAGACCCAGAACGTTTTAGGGCATGTAAAGAGAAACCTGATTTTGAGAAATATCATGCAAGAACTACAGCTATTGCTGTTGCTACTGCTACTCCTCCTACGACGACACGACCACTAGCACCACGAGCACGACAACAACCAGTAGCACCACTGCCGCTACTCCTGCCACGTAACAAGGTGACGATGGAGATGCTAGAAAGACAACTATTTTGGCTAGCTTTTCATGTGTACTACTGCATGTAGTCCTGAAAGTCGTCGCTGTTTCTTGGGATGTGTTTCCTACATGTCCCTGGGTCACTAGGGGCTCCGTATATTGAGAAACAGCCTGCGTTCGCTGTGCGCGGGTGCCCAGGAAGGAATGCCTCAGCATCAGCCATGGTTGCAGGAACCTATCCAGTGGTAATCTCCCACAAGCTGGGCATCCTCCAAAAGGTATACCCAACGTATGGCAAGCCTTTAGCCACAACAGCTTCCTACAAAAAACGAGCGAGTCGAGACATCCTGACTTCTGTAAAACACATAATGCAGACCTTTTAGTAATCAGGGGTTTGGGTTACCACCTCTTGAAGCCGCAGGCCCCAAACCCTCAACTCAGAACCCAGCAACTCCCATGTCGCCTCAGAAACGGACATGGAACCCCATAAAGGTTCAGGTTAGGTGGACCCACCACCCAGTAATAGTGACTATAGAGGATAATAGGGATTATATTAGGGTCCTCTTATATTCCTATTATACCACTATTACAGGGTGGGGGGTCCTCCTAAGCTACAGGCTAAAAAGGACATTAATCCACAACAGTTAGGGGGTGGATAAGCCGGGTAAATCCCCAAACCCCTCCCCTCAACTTGAATTCTTCACCTCAAGCCATCCCCTTAGGGTTTAGGGTTTCCTACACATAAAACGCAGTTTCGGCATAGGGTGTAGGGCAGTCTCCCCGCTCGGGGAGATCATTTGTCACCAGGGAAGCTGTGAGATTCTTTGTTGCGGGGACCTTGCAGTTCAGGATAGTTTGTGCCCATGACCCACCGAAAAAAACTGCCGAGGCCTTAAACCCCCATTTGGGGTGAGGTCAGATGACGCCACTATCTGCAATTCTGCATAACGGACCCCAAATCTGCCCTAAACCCTAAACCCTAAACCCCTAAACCATAAACCCTAAAGCCAGCCAAGTTTGGACTAAGAGGCTCCATCACACTTCCAAGCTCCTGCTGGGGAGGTGAGGAGTTGGGGACTGGGGTTTAGAGATTCGGGATTTAAGGGGGGGGTTTAGGGTTTAGGGTCTTGGGGTTTAGGGGTTTAGGGGCTTGGGGGAACGATTCTAGCTTTAGTCTTCAAGGTTCGGGAATTCAGATTTAGTCTCAAGGTTTGGGCTTTCAGCTTCCGGGTGTAGACTCGTCCTTTTGGTGTATCATTGTGGAGCTCACTGCGCTCAGCCTGGGAGATGTAGCCTTCTAGTTTATTGAGGGACTTGCGCTCTGCGAGCTGTCCATGTTGGTGTGAGATGCTTGTTTTTCAGTTCGCGAGTTCTGGCTTTTAATTTCTCACCCTGACAAATTCCAGCTTCCTGAGCTTTGCAATTTGATCTGCTTGTAGGGAACCTGTCAGGGCTTGAACTATTTCTCAAAAAGTAGATCCCCCTTCTCTTTCCAAAAATCGCGACCTCATGAATCTAGAGGCAGCCCCAAAGCGGTACCAACAATGTTGAGAGAAACACCAAATTCTTCTTTTTGGTGTGCCGGGTTTGGGGACATGATGTGTGCCAAGAGGACGAAGGATAACTGCTCTCTGTGCCCGCGAGCGCTGCAACATTTCAAGTACTAGCTTAACTCTTAGCCCAAAAGCCCTATTGTAGGGGCTAGAGAGTTAGACTATGGTCTTGGGGCATATTGTGCTAATAGTTGCAGTTACACAAGGATTGCAGGGGACCAGTAGGTAATTGTGAAGTTTCGCATCAACAAATATATGATCCCAGTTTCCCGTGGTTGTTCCATTTGAGGAGTGTTTTTTTGGTTGAACCTTGTAAAAAATATTCCCATACTATAGCCCAAAAGGAGGATATAATCTTACTCTGTAATGGGTACCATAGTATTCCCCCAAAAAATACTACTCATTTGACTCTCGATTCTTGGCAAGTATTCCGGCTTTAGGCCAGCTGGAATACTTAGCCCACTTGACCCTAGGAAGAAAAAAGGATCCTTCTTACATAAATATATAAGGAATCCCATACCCCAAAAGTATAAAGGATCCA